ARRAAAAAAACTAATAAGAATTAAATTAAAAACTATTCTGCTTACGCCGTTTGGCCTTTTATGAGGCCGACAAAAAAAAATACACAAAATAAACACATTAAAAACAGAATGCCGCAACAGCAACAACTAAAGATATAGCACACATACACACACACCGAAATAAACAACAAACAAAGTAGAAATGTATAAATTTTAAATGGAAATATAAATTAAATTCATATGGGAACCAAATGTTGTGCAAATAAATCGTTAAAATGGCAAACAAAACACACGAATCGAGAAATCGAAAAACCGAAAACCAAAAACCGAAAAATGAACAAATTTGGAGCCTTGAAATATTACAGCAATCAAAATTCAATAAATTCTGCGCAATATTCATGAGTGTAAATATTTTCCGCTTTTTATTTTTAATTGTGTAAATGAACAGACAACACGGAATCTGTGGATCAAAGCCATAAAATGGCATATGGAGTAGACCGAATAATATGAAGATAGGAGAACAAAACGAAAATTGAATATTGCATATTGAATATGGAATATTAAATATTTAGCGATATCAGATTCAGAACCCAGCCCACAGCTGACACTATTCATCGGTTTTCCCATACTTAATATTGGGGAATTGGGTTCGGGTTAGTCAGTTATTCAAATGAGTTGGGGCCTTGCCAGGCGGACAGCTTTATGAGATAATTTATAAACTAAATTCAATGGCCATAAAAATACAAGTCGGCAGCTGTTTGCCTAACGAGTTAAGTTCTAGCCGAGTATTATATACTATGTGCTTAAACGATCAGCGAATAGATACTCTTTAATGAAATTGGGCTAAGTGACAATGTGATTTGATTCGTCATCTTCTCTCTCTCTCTCTCTCTCTCTCTCTCTCTATGCCCTCAATTGCTTCTCTTCTATTTTAATAAAACGGGAAAGTAGAGTAGTATCAGCCTGTCTCTCTCTGCCCTCAGCACTCTTCTATTGCTATTAAAGAATTCCTCTCCTCAACAGAGTAGGCTCATCTTCTCTCTTACTGCATTCAGTTAGTTGTCTTCTATTCCTCTCCATAAGCGGAGAGAGGATGGGTAGGGTAAGCCTCTCTTTCTCTCTGCCTTCAGTTAGTTATCTTCTATTAGTCTCTTTAAGTCTTTTCTTCTACTTAATGGGATAGTCGATGGGTAGGATCATCTTCTCTCTAACTGCCCTCAGTTAGTTCTCTTCTACTGATATTTAGCTCTATTCCTCTCCAAAACAGGAGAGAAGATGGGTAAGGTCAATTAGTTATCTTCTCCTCCTCAGTTAGTTATCTTCTATTAGTCTCTTTCTTTTCCTCTACTTAATGGGAGAGTCGATGGGTAGGATCATCCTCTCTCTATCTGACCTCATTTTTTTCCAATTAAATTTTATTTTATTCCTCTACTCAACGCACCTGGAAGTTCATGATGGCCTCGGAGATTTTGATGTTTATGGGCTCCACAACCATCACAATGTTGAAGGAGCCCAGCATGCGTTCGGCCACCTTATCCATGGCCAGGGCAAAGTTCTCCCACTCGGTGTCGAACTCGTGCAGGTAGTGCAGGCAGCCCTTGATCACGTTGACGCAGTAGTTGGTGCAGGGCTTTTCCGTATAGCCCTTGCAGGCGCCGCAGTGCTGCATTTTGGTCAGCGCCCCGGTGCAGTCCGAATTGAGTCGAATCTGAATGGAAAGGTAGTCAGAGTTGCGATTAGACAAATATTATAAATCGAAATCAGCATTCACTTACTTGCAATACCTTCTTGGAGACCTCAGCGGCGGTAATCAGCGCCTGCCCGTAGGTGCGGGTGGCTACAAAGGAGCGTTTGATTTGCACCGAGAGCTTGTCGGGCACATCACCGAACGGCTTCAGTTCCTTCATGTGCTCGCTGACGCATTGCATGTATCTGGAAGAAGATTTGACGTTTGTGTGTGTGTTTCAGGCAAAATATTGGCAAAATATTTTTATTGGCATTGGCCGGAAATCTCAGCGTGTAAATGGCACGGTGCTGAATGCACCGCCCACCGCATGCCGCCCACCATCAATCCATCTGCCCGATCTCTGCCTTGTGTATACACAGACTTTTATGTGCAAAGAATAATATGAAAAGAAGTTGTCTGACTGACTGCTTCAGTGCGCGCCATGTGCTGCACGTAGCATGCTGCACCTGCTCCTGGCCATGAGGCATGACAGCTGTTGCACTTGTATGGCTGCCTCTCGGTCCGAAGCGACTCGCCTCGACGCAACTCGACAATGGGCGAACTAGGAAATGGCTAAAACACGTTAGCTGCTAAAAGGCTATCTTCTTTGATCAGTATTTTTCGCTTTGTTTATAAAGAATTTATAAAATATTTTAGAAATAATAAATCAGAAAGAAAAACATTAAGATGCTGCAGTATATAGATTTGTATATCATATTTCTAAGTCTATCAAATAAATGAGATAAAGTCTATATATTTTTCTGGTCTGGCTGTCTTTTATCTCTTTGTTCTAACACCCACACACACTCATTTATAAAAGTATGTTGCCAAAAACATTCGCAGTGCCTTAGGGCGCCCATTCATTTGTTTGCCTTGTCAATTGGGGGAGCAACCCCTACATTAAATGCAGCACACTCGACTGCGCAGTCCATTGTAGGTCTGGGTCGCCGACCAACCGCATGCAGCGAGCAACAAATAACAAGCAGCAAGTGCCAGCAATTACGCCGCCGTCGTTGTCCAGTGCAATAAACGGACAACGTGCCAAAGCACGTACGACAAACTGAGACGATGACAATAAAAACGAATCGCAGAGGAAGGCAGCGACGGCGCGCCGCGGCGGCAGCAACGACAGCAATTGGAAAGCGCGTGGGTAACACGAGCCGAGCCGAGCCATGAAGTGCAAGAGCTGAAGCTGAAGCTGAACCCGATGCCGAAGCCAGCGAAACAATTCGCCAAGCCAAGCCAACGCAAGCCAAACCARGGAATGGGTCCAGTTCAATGAGCCAAGAGCCAAGTGGGCGCAATTTAGCGTGCCGTAGGAAATGCGACCAGCTGCCACAGGAACTGCCTCAAAGTGGGCTCTCCATAACACACACGCACATTCTCACTCACACAGACAGAGTGAATGTGTTGGCAGTGGGAGTATATACACATTAGGATTACGTTTGCAGCCTACTAAATTAAGAGATGTACAAAACAACAGCTGCCTGATTAGCTGGTAATGCTGCTTATGAGTGGGACGTCGGCCATGGATATCCAGCTTATCATTTGAGGAGGAGTTTACCAAAAAGTTCCCATTGGGTCGATCTGATTAAAGTACCCTAAATTGGAGAGCTCTCTAGCTATATAGCTATTCCTATATAGACAGACACATAAATTTATCTTCTCATTTACTATATTATTAGTTGAATTAGCTGAATCACTGATTATATCAAGTATACATATAATCAAGTATCTGCCTTTTGAGACTTGAAATACAATCTTACTTCCAATCATACCAATCATCCAATCAAAATGCCGTCTATCTAGTTTTATTATACACAGTAAGTATTTTAAGTGCTTTAATACAATTTTAATTTCTATAAATTCATAAGAAAAACTCTCTTAACAGTTTTAAGGCTTTGTATCAAAAGTTTCTTCTCTCTATTTTTCTGTATATTTTATCGTTTACTCCACAAGAAAGAGTAACTAGACTTCGTCATTTAGAGTACCGAAAATTAGCCCATTTCCTAGTTAAGCGTTTCAACCGCAAACATCGCGACAACAATAAAACAAAAGGGCAATTCAGCCCATAGACCGAAAGCTGGAATTGCACACCAGAGGAGTGAAGCAAGGCAGGCAGACATTCAGACACTCAGACATCCATCCAGTCAACGTCAGAGATTCGTCAAAGCTTTCAACAGYCTTTGGCCTGAGCCAAGTCAGTCAGTCAGTCAACCGTTGACGCTCGACACTTTGCGGTTTCACACGTCTGTAACTTCAAATCTGTCAGGCGTCGACTGCTTCAATGAGGACTTTGGATCGAGTAACGGGGGGCAGTATGTACGCTGTACTCGATGACGATAATGTATTGTATATGGCTGCTACTCACTTTTCGTTRAAGGCATACTGCGCATTCAGCACAGTGAACATCTTTTGGTAGAGCGTGGTGAAGAACTTGTCCATCACATCCAATAGATCGACCCGACCGCGCGCATAGTAGTTTTCCAGTTCACTGAACAGATCCGAAAAGACATACGAATTCTGCTGATAGATCACTCCATATGTCCGCATGAACATCGTGTGGAACTGTTCCTTCGATTCCAGCAGCAATTTGCGAAAAATATCTATGGAAGAGACGGACGAGATGAAGAAAATGTGTAAAATTGAGAGACATTCTGTGGGTCGATTTTATTGAAATGGGCCACATCCGCCGCGTCCAGACAACCGACTAAATGCTTCTGTGGTACTATTCTTAAATATTTGTGGCTTCCGCTGCACAAAATAAATCCCAACATCCGCATTGTCGCCTGCACACTTCACATTGTGTCATTCTCTTTCCCTCCCTGTCTCTCTATCTCTCTCTCCCTCTCACTCTTGCTACAAATCGATCTGTGTAATTCGAAGCCCGCATGATCCAATGGAAATGGAAGCTAGTCCACTCGACACCCGCAAATAGTTACAAATCTGTAAACTCTAAACTGTGTCTACATCCAATTAGRATCGGACGGACGGACTGACATCTTCAAGTAGCTGTTGAGTTATATTTCTGGTCATATTTCGACTTACCATTGAATTTGGCTGCCTTGCCACCCAGCAGACCCGACATCTTGGATATCTGCTCCTTGGTGTGCCACTCCAACTGCAGGCGTGACTGGCCCGCCATGCGCGTCTCCATGTTGTAGGTACAGCAGGTGCCCACCGAGGGCGATTCACAGTAGCGCAGCACACGTTCTGCAATGCCAAGAGGAGAAATATTCAATTAGTATTTAGAATAAATTAAATGAGTTCTAAATATATTTAAATGTATTCCATACACAAATAATACTAATATAGTTTTATTTAGTTAAATACATTATTTACATTTTATAATATTTTGTAAATTACAAATAATATTATATGAAGTTCAACAT